GGAATATTATCTGCTTCATGCAGCCAACAGATAAGGTAGCTCTAACATCTTCATTTTCACCTTTAGCTTTTTCAAATGGTGTAATATTTCATGATGACATAACCATACAGTTGAAAGCTGTCACACAGTATCTGAATGCTCACAACGAATGACACTATCACAACATAAAAAATGAGGCAGTGTTTTCACAGTGCTACCATGTGTCACTGTCGTCATCTTGTGCAGCGATTAACTTGAAGGCCAGCCGTGGCCATGAGAAGGTGTGAGGGAAGAGGAGACCAGGGTAAAGAAAAATAATGAGAAATGAGAATGCTTAAAGAGATTAAACACGGACATAAATTGTTCTCTGTTCATATTTAACAACTACAGTTGAACCTGGAAATATCACTCCTACTGACTTCAAAGTACAACATGTAAATCTTTAAATTCAGTGGCACATTAGAATGACTTTGTATACAGCACGATACTGTAAGACCCAGAGGTTCCCACAACGTCTATTTTAATGTAATGTTTTAAATTGTTATGATAAACTCCAGCAGATAAACTACACAAAGAAAACACACTACAGTATGGGCATCTTACCAAAAGTGCAAATACTACTGCCATTTATAATAAAGTGCTCTACTTTTCTGGTGGCTGCTAACGACCTAACTTACTTCAAATGCAACTTTAAATTGTCTGCCTTATCACGATGCTATAAATCCAACCAGTACTTTATGCAGATTAAAACTAATGCACACAGAACGGCCAGTTCTTAGATGTACATCCTGGACAGTCGAAGGGCACACTGCGTAAAAGAGAGAGCTCATAATAGGTATATATTAAAGGTTTAAACATTTAACTTAGTCTCACAAGCATGTAGCATTCATTTATTCAAAGAGATGATCAAGCTGACATTTTTATATATTATGAATTCATAAATGCACACCACTTAGTTACACAGAGAGAAGGCAAACCAGCAAAACTGTCTCTAGCAATGTTCAAAAAGCTAAATAGATAAAAGTTAAACTTCAGTGGACTAGAATGACTGTTAAGTCTTAAGTCGGAGCGTCAAGCACCATTTTAAGAGTGAAATGTGTGTTTTCAGATAAAAGGTTTTTGTATTGACAGGGAGACATTTCCAACAGTGCCAGAGAAGCCAGTCAACAAGATGGTATGATGCAGCTCCCAGTGATAAAGAGGTGATCCAGGACCTGAGACAGCAGGTATTAAGAGCATAGCCTTGTCGGGCCTTCCAGGCAAAATCAAACTGTGGTGCCTGCAGTTTGGTCTTTGGCACGATTGTTATGACCACTGGCAGTGTATGACAAACTCATTTCTAAGGTAGAGAAGCTAGAAGAAATGTTTAGTATGTATGTTAGAAAGTGGCTGGAAGCTCCACGCTGCCTCAGGCACCTCTTAAACCCATCACTCACAGAATGGGGGTTGTTGATAATACTGACATTTATTCAGAGGGATAACTATTGGTATATTTTTCTTCTGGTTGCTATGATATTACTAGGACTGTGAGGAGAGAGTAGAAACCAACTTAGCATGATGTCTTATTCCTTCTTATGTTTTGTGGCGCCATGACATTGGACTGGCTGAACAGAGATAACGCTAGCAGCTGTTTTAGTTACTGCCAAGTAGGGGGCTGTCCTGTTGCCACTGAGTATATTTAACTGAACCAGTGGGTTCAACAGGGTGGCCTGCATTTTGCCCTTGTAATGGCATCTATGAAATCACTGGATGTTCATTTTAGGACAAGTCAGGGTTGAGAACTGGTGTTGCTTGTTATGGAACCCTAAAAAATTTATGACATCATAGACTGGTCCCTTTTGGGGCCAAATGATGGGTCAATCATAATTTACTGTAACAACGGACTTTGTCCAGAGTTGTTGTTTCACACATGTATCACATAACAGAAGATAGTCCATGTCAGATACGTTCTCACCTAAAATACTTTTGGTTTGGTTTATGCAAGGAGGTTGGGGATGGTGGTGCCTGGGTAGAGTGTGCAGAAGGCAGACCTGATGCAGTCATGTAGCCAGCTTGTCATTTGGTCATAAATAACTGAGTCCCCTGCCATTCCTTAAACTTGTCTGACAGTTATGGTGCTGGCTCTTAACAACAGAAGTTGCCAAGTCATGTCTTGTTTGTTGGCATCTTCATTGTAAATGCCTGTTCTTCTTCACCACCAGATAACTGTATTCTTCCAGTTTTGTGCCAGCCACATAATACAGTAGAACGTCATCAGCACGACACAATAGCTCCATGTGAATACTCCGGACTATACGCTGCTGTTTTCTCCTCTGGGTTCACTCTAGCTCACTTGGACATTATGCAGAATTTGTACTTGGGAGCTGGTATGGTCAAGTGTACTTAATGTCTGGGTCAACTGACTCGGATATTTGCGTTTTCACAAACAGCTCTTCTGGGTAATGTCTGGATAATTTCAGGGTTCCAGTACCTGTCTGAAAAGGGACTTTCTACTGTAAAGGAAAGAGACAAACACTTTGTGAAGAATAGTTCTGTTTCCATTTGACTTTTGTGAGGTTTTGTTGGAGGAGAACACCTGATGTTTGGATTAGGGTCTGGTTCAGTAAAGTTCTGGGTCTGGAAACTGTCAGAGTAATTGCTCAGAATTCAGAGTACGGTGGCTCTGAGGAATACTCATGTGAACGGACCAAAGATGTGCAGTTTAAGAAAACTATTTCACCAGTTTGACAACACAGGTTGCAGCATTTAGGGAAAAAAGCTACAGTGAAAAAATAACAAAATGCAGAAATTGTTGCTTGTGCTGTTTGCTTGCAGTGTTTCTGTATTTTTGTTTTTGTTTAGTTTTTTTTTTTTTTTTTTTTGCTTTTTTATTTTGTCTATTTACATATTTTTTTTTTTTTTTTTTTTTTTGCAGTGTGTTAAACTCCACCATACTATTGGAGACTGTTTAATCACTTAACAGATGTATTTAAAGAAGGCTTTGATGTTAATCTCTGTTTTTCTTTCAGCACTGTGCACTGAAGAGTGCGCACACGGACGGTGCGTCTCTCCAGATACCTGTCAGTGTGAGCCTGGCTGGGGAGGACTGGACTGCTCCAGCGGTGAGTATATGCTTCAGGTAGTCGCAAACTCGGATAAAGTTCATGCATTTGTCTGTGAGTTGGGTCCATCTAACACTTTTAGAAGAATTTTTACGATTAGTGGTGCATTGATGTGCTTGTTGCATTTAACTACAGTATGTAGTTGTTTAGAGAATTTTAATAATTTAACCCTTAAATGCATGAACTGCCCCAGGTTTTTAACAACCCAGCACCACTGTGTGGGTTGTTGCTGCTGTAATCGTGACTGGGTCCTGTGCTTTATACTTGAATTACACAAATTATTGCTGCCTTCCTCTCCTTATGAACAATGTTTAGGTCGTGGTTTGTTCAAATCAACCTTTCTGACATTGTCAATGCACAAACCTGTCTTTACATTCATTGCTAGCACCTATATTGTGGACAACCGTGTACAGTGTGAGCATAAGAGTCACATATTTGTCTGTGCAAGAAGGCTGATAAAAATGTCTAGTTTGAGTCAATACAGCTTACATTGTTAATAAAACTTAAGCAACGGATGGCTGCATTTTGAATTAGCTGAAGCTGTTAAATAGCTTTTACGGGAAGACCAGTAAAAAGAACATCAATGTGATCTATAGTCTGACAGTGACAAGAGTCAGGTTTTTCATCCAAATGTGGTACCAAATTTAGCACAATGTGCAGAGAATCTTCAAATGTAAATGCAAATTAATTATTGTGCAAATATTAGGAGCTAGGGCATCAACATAAACCATTGCACAGCTAATTAAAAAAAGGAAATATTATGGAAAATGTATGCTTGTTTCAAGAATAAATTTGAGGGATGTTACAGACCAATGTTTTTGTTTGCTACCAGCTCTTCAGTGGAAGCTTATGTGACTTGTTTCAGTGATATGCATATTATCATGAATTATAAATGTATAAGTTTGCTTCCTTTGTTCATTGTTGTTATCAATACAGCAACATTTCCACCTCAGCAACGTGTAAAAATGCAATATGTTATATTTTTCCAATATTTTCAGCATTTCAGCTCAGATTATTTTATATGGAACTTGCAAGTCTGCATAAACAGGTGCATGGTAACCCACTTAAAGACAAGTGTGTCCAAAAGGAGGAAATGAGACACTGACACAGTGATGGAAGGCTGAACTAGAGGTGCTGTAGCAGGACAGTTGTGTTTTAATTTGAGGCCAAAAAGTGAGTTTGAAAGCAAAAAATTTCAGCACCTGAAACAGAGACCGTCTTGGAGTCATGGTTACTGATCAGCAGCTCTATCAACCCCTCCACTCCTCTCTGAGACATTTAAGTCAGTTTTGTGGTATTGAACTGTAAGAATTTTAGTGATTGCACCTTTAAACTTGAAATGAAGCTATTGCATTTCAATATCATTCTCATTTCTGTTGTTTGGTTCCACTCCTCAGCTCCTCAGACTCTCGTACTGCCCTCTCTGGTGCTGTGGGAGTCCAGCTCAGTCTAAACCATAGGTGTGTGCGTGTGAACGATTTGGGGCACTATTGACACTTCATGAGTCACACAGCCCCTTCCGCCTCCTCATTGTTTACCTGTTTTTATTACTGCCCAGGGGCCAGGGGACAGAGGCCAAATCAAGACAGAGGTTAGGTAAATCTACTAGCCATTAGGCTATGGGGAAGGGAAGGATAAGGTATTGACTGCCCAGTAATGCCTGCCCCTGTTTAAGAAAAGGAGCAGAGGTAAACACAAGCTCAAGCTGGTATGTCAGGTTCACTCGGGAAGTTTGGCTGGCTTTAACTTCCTTTCTTCGATGTGCTGCAGTTTTCTGCCTGTATTTATTATCCTGCTAGTCTATTCATCATCCCCTCTTATTATGCTCTTATTTATTTTACTAATAAAGCAAAAACTGTCTGCATCAGCCTCATTTTACCCTGCAGAGAGTGCAGCTGTATGACAGGTGAATCTGAGTGGAAAATAAATTTAAAGACATCTTTTTCCAGTGTCCTACGTTAGATTAATACATCGCAGCATGAGGACTCTGCCTCCTCACATCCTCACAATAGAATTTGTCGTTTGCTCATTACCTGTAGAAGAATGTAATTTACTCCAAAGATGCTGCAGTGTGAGGCTGGATTGTGCCTCCTATGGGGATATTGAACCTACTCTTACTTGGACTGTGTTTTATTTTATGCACACTTTTAACCTGATTGGTCAGGGGAAGTGAATCCACTGGCCAGTGACACATGTGAGGGCCCACTTTCTTTTATTTTTTTATTGCTTTGCTGTCTAATACACTGCGGCTCAGGCTGTGATGGTTTTCAAATAACTGTAGTTTAATTGCAGTGGCATAAAGTAACAAAATTCAAAGGCCTAATATCATACCAACAGAAGAGTTGTATTACTAAGTCCTGATTGGTGGACAACACCTTCTCCTCTGATTCAAATACGTTCAGTGGAGGCTCATCTGGTTTTAATGAGAAAGAGTTTAGCAATTATTCGCAGAGCGGATAGAGATAAAATGATGTGATTTGTGGAGAGAGAGGTATCCAACCTTGACTTAAAAAAGGTGGATTCTTAAAAACAAACTGGTCAAATGCAAAGTATATTCAGTTGCCACTTTATTAGGTACAGTACAAGACTAATGCAGTCTAATTCCAACAGTCCTGCAATAAATCTTACCTTCATGAAGGAGAGCATGTCTGGCTTTTGTCCAGCCTGTTTATATTAATGAGGCTAAATAAGATATACATGTCTGTTGGTGATGCATTGCAATGTGACACAAGAAATACTACTTTTGCAGTAATCCACACATCCAAAGTGACTGTCCGTTGCTGTCAGGGGTGACAGGCAGTGTTGTAAGCATTCACAATGCAAAAAAATGTGTGTTTAAAATTGTGCCAGCATATGTTTTCAATCGCACCTCTCTTTTGATTTTTTCTCTTTGCTCTCATGTTTATTTTACCTGCTATCTGTCCAGGTTGCGTTCCGGTGCCCATACCCATATATTAATATAAATATATTTTACTTGTTGCACATAATACCTGACCTGGTGCAGCAAGAGTGTTAGTCAGTAACGTGCGGTCAGGGGAGGCAGGTGAGGCAGAGCCTCCCCTGTCAATCTTGAAAAGGAAAAAAAAAGTTAACCATAAAATATAATAAATGTTAATATTTGTCAGCTGGTGTGTGTTGTAGGCCCTTTTGCCATTCGAATCCGATGTCAAAGGATTTTTTTTCAATAAACTATGGCAGAATTTTTGTATATCCCGTTCAAATACATGGAGGAGATGCGCGATGAGGCAGCACTTTGCTGTGCCTCTCGGTGGATCGTGTAATCCTCACAAACTGTATGCGATGCCAATAGTGTGTCGCTGTCCCTCTATATATCGCAAATAAAATGCTTTCAAACACTCTGATTATATGCTCTGCCTTGCCATAATCTGGATAATGTATAAAATGTAGTTCTGTAACGTGTTTAGGCTCGCAGATTAACCATAAAACCCAGTAAAAAAGTTACTCGGTGAGGCAAACAGTCCCTGCCTCAAGGCAGAGGGCGCTAGTGAGCCCACAGATTCTTGCGCTACCTACAATCTTCTTCGTGCTTATTTATATTTCCTTTACAATCCGAAGATTACATTTCCAAGCTGAGAAAATTCGCAAATCTGGACTTTCAATCAAAACATTTTTGACAGTCTGGACATTTTTGTCCAGAAGGATCTTCTTTATTGAGAACATTTGTTTTAATATTGGATTCGAACGGTAAAAGGGTTTGTAATACATACCAGCTGACAAATGGATTTCGTGTACAAGTAAAGGTAAGACCATAAACTTTTATTATTTCTAGTTAGAAATAAGCTCAATTGGAATAAATTTTAACCTCAAATTAAATATGGGTCACGTTTGTGTGAAGAATGTTGATATGAGATATAAAATATAACACATTGTCTGTTAACAGACAATTTGTTAACGGTTCATTTGTATTTGTAAATCTGACTGTAAAAGAGTCAGTGCCTCACCAGCTGTCAACCTCACTGCACGTCACTGGTGTTAGTTTGGTTTAATATTGAAAAAGACAATATTTCAGGTGAAGCACAAGATAGGGGGTGGGGGTGGGAGGGTTCTTGAATGCAGCAAAAATAAGCAACATTTACATGTTATTGCCTTTTTACCTTGTAATGGCCAACTTTATAGCAAATTTCTGCTTATTTACACACTCAGTAGGCATATAGCAATATTCATATTTGGAGCTGTTTTTCTGGCAGATGTAAATCCTTTATTTATTCTCCTTTATTCTCTGCTTTTGGTATCCATAAATTCCTGATAAAGATATTTGGGTCTTTAACTGCAAAATGCTCCACCATATTTACTAGTTAGTGTAACTTCTGTGTAGGTAGCACGCGGTGGGTTAACGAGGTTTTTTGTTAAAGACAGCAGCCTGCTGCTGTTGGACATGATGTTGATTAGATCAGACTAAGACTATGAGCGACCTCTCACTCAGGGTTCTGTGTAAAGAAGTATTGAATCTATTTTTACGCAGTAGTGTGTGGCTTTCTTCCCTTTTGGAACCCACAGTACACACCAGCTGCTAGTAACAAGCGACTCAAACTTTAAGTGGGCTTGTATGAGAACAATGAAGGAAAGAAGGGGAGACCACAGGATGACCCTTGGCATCGTTTCCACTGCGCCTAACCAGATTAGCTGGTGAAGCAGTGGGTAAGCCTCAGTCTCCTTCTCTGTCCAAGCTCCAGGCTAGTTGAAACACTGCTGCTCTGCCAGGCAGTAAGAATAGCTCAGAGTGGGGTGAAGCAACCAGAGGAAGACATGGATGAGACAGCAAAGACAGAAGAGGACACATAGGAAGTGGTCTCAAAAGTAGAGAAAGAAGAAAAAGGACAAATTGTAATGAAAATTATCGTGTAAAGATGGTGATTATGATGAAAAAGATTATCAAGAGCAAGAAGGATAAGATGAAGGGAAAGAACATTGCAAAGAAGCAGTTTAATATGATAAAACTCTTAAAAGAATGAAGCAGAGAAGCAAGCTGCTACATAGGC